AAAGATTTGACATATTCGTTGCAGCTGCCTAGTGTGATGATCAGTGTTAATGTTGTATCGCACATCACTAGCTCTGATCTGTCAGCTTGTTAGTAATAATAATATTATATACAATATATTAATTAGCACAAGGAAAATGCATGAGTAAAACAATATATAATAGGCTATACCTAGCTAACTAATTTGCTAAAAATGCTAATGCAATAACTAGTATTCTGCCAGTGTAGACATATGACAGTATGTTGCTTTAATAATGCCAACAATATGTGTATGTAACCAGGTTCTTCCTTTTAGTAAAATTTAACTGTTGTTCAGTATTTATCAGCTCCAAATCCAAACATGATCAGCTCATTTTCACTCAAGCTTGGTAGAACCATACACCATACAGGCCATAATAAAGCAACATTTTTAATGGAACTGATACAGGATAAGTGACCATCAATATCACTGACCTGAGAAAACACTCTCCTGCCCCCAGCCTGAACCTCGGAGCTCCTCAACTCTGACACTTTTACATCTCCGAGGCTGCTCAGACTGCTGCTGTGAGACTTTCCCACCTCTACCCTCTTTATGTTACTCTGACGAAAAACAGGAAACATCATGAGCCGGCTGGAGGCCGGACGAGGACTGGACCTGCTGTTTTGCTGTTTGTTCACGTCAGAAGAATATCCCTGATGGTCTGATTGTGCATTCCTGTTAACAGATAATTGGAGAGAATTTAGTCCAGTGGTCGGAGAAATTAGCTTCCTCCCAATTGTGTATTTTTTACTCAATTTTTTGTTCAATAGAAAAAACAAACTGTGCTGCTGGTGAAAATGCAGACCATCTTGCCTTTTACTTTGAGACTAACCTCTGAGAGAGAGTTTTCCAGACTTCATTGTTTCCAGTTTCCTGTCTGTCCTTGTGTTCAGACTGCATGTTAGTTCTTAAAGCAGGAGAGGAGAGAACTGCTTCATTCAGGCTACGCTCTAGAAGTTTGGGAAGCTCCTTGATGCTTCGGTAGCTAAACAGATGGAGGAGAAACAGTTAAATAATTAAAAGTTCCAGCTGCAGGGCTCCCTATTTATCAGATTTCATGATATTGATGCATTTAAATATAGCTACTCACTGATTCACTGCCATGGTAAAGTCCTCTGCAACACTTTTAATTTTGCCCTTCAGAGGATTGAGGTAGAGAGTTTCTTCATCCTCTCCCTCGGACTTCTCTTCATCGTTCTCTTTACAGGCTGAGCTCACTTCTGCTTCCGCTGCCTCAGAGAGCAGAGGCACAGGCAGGACCTCAAAAGAGAAAAAGAGAAAAGTAATTGACAAGATAAAGTCTGGTAAAGCTGTGATCCTGTCCCGAACAGGGATTTCATCATAAACCAAAAATAGTCCAATTTTGTGAAATAAAAATCCAAGTTTTCCACTATCAACCACATCAAGCAGTTAAACACGTTATGTATCACACATTCACAGCACTCACAGGTGCAATTTCAGCTTTTTCCATTTTGCCTAAGGACAGTTCCATATAACAGTACACTGGAGGAGCTGGGATCTAACCACTGACCTTCTGATTTGTGGTAATCAACCACTCTGCAGATGTCTGCCTTGTAACTAGAGTGTGAATGAATGCAATTCCCTACACTCACTGTGCTACAAGGGCACTAAAAACACATGCCTCCTCCACACAGACTAGGTTTATTACAATTTGCCCATGCTGCTCACAGAGTCATAATAATCCCGGCCATACACACTGTTGCTACCTGTGGGTGAGTGAAGGTTACAACATCCACAGAGAGGGCAGATGGTGTGGTTGGTTGAGGAGGTGGAGAGGGAGGAGTAATCCAGGTGGGCTGATCCGGTTGCATCTGTTCCACCTGCTCCTTCAGCTCGTCCGTACGCAGCCCACACTGAAAGATCAGCCCCTCCAACTCCCTGATGCATAACATACATGTTAAAAAAGAAAAATGAATCAAAACAACTGAGTAATGAGCACACATAAATGCAAAATCTAAAATGTATTCAGATGTAATGCTGGACATCAACATTACCGTTCTGGGTCAAACTGGCTGATTTCTATGCCTCGCTGCTGCAGGAGTTTGTGCTCATCCCTCGCCAACAAGTATCCCCTCTCCAAAGATTCGAGCCCCTCGGCAAGCTGAGCCATACCCTAAAAGAAAGAACTTTTATGTATTCCATTCAATATATGT